TCAAATTGTTAGAAATTGCAAACTCTGCCCATGCGACTGAAATTTTTTCTATTGTGGTAGTGTGCTCAGGGCTTTCGTGGTAAGCCACCGTTACGAACAACTCTAACCGTGAAGCCTGATTTGGATCAATCTTTTGCTAAAGAAGTTGGGCAGAGCCTTTCATGAATTCATCCTCCGGCTACATCTTCTACGTAAAGCGGGCCACCGTAACGTGCTGAATGCATCATAGCCAATGACACACGAACCACAGTTTTCCTCTCAAGGTCGTCGTATTTCCGGCCAGTCTACTCTCATGGGATAAGAAGGCTGACACCCTGCTTTAAGCCGCCCCACGTCGACACGTCACCCCCCCCCCCCCCCCTCCCTCCTCTCTCTCCCCAGCCCAGACGCGTCGGGCCCGCCCGAGGCAGACGTGTCGTGCTCCGGCCGGCCCGGTCGTCCCTTTCTCCTCAGCCCAGACGCGTCGGGCCCGCTCCGGCAGGCCCGGTCGCGCCCTCCTCCTCAGCCCAGACGCGCCGGGCCCGCCCCGGGCCAGACGCGTTGTGCTCCGGCCGGCCCGGTCGCGCCCTTCTCCCCAGCCCAGACGCGTCGGGCGCGCCCCTGCCGGACGCGTCGTGCCCCGGCCGGCCCGGTCGTCCTGTCCCATGACGTTGCACGTCACGACGACAAACCGCCGAGGAGGAAACTCGCTCCGAATCTCAAGGCACCCCACCACCATTCGTAACAACAGCGGCACGATTGCAGGAGTTAATCTCCACTGCCTGTGGGATCAACGGCCGCCTTACCACGACCCCGTCTTTTCTCCTCGGTTAGAGGAAAACAAAGTGAACAGATAAGGTAGAATTTCCATTTCTCACGTGGCTGAAAATGTCAATCTTTTCGGAATATAGCCTAGAAATTGATTTTGAAAGCTTTCGAAAGCATTATTTTACTAGGGTCGCCCTTGCACTCCCGGCACCAGCTGCCTGGTGCTGTGTGCAGCGGCCGACGCAGTTCTGTTTTGCGGAGCCTGCAAGCCCGGCCATCGGTGTTCTCGCTCTTGAGAATGCTAGCGTGTTTCATTGTTAGCTTTACATGCGGATTCTGCCAAATCGTGGGCGTTCATGGGCTGGCCTTTTCTTAATATTTGACCTAAATTCGTTGCACTCTATTGAAAATTATTGAAACTCTTTATCTTGCTCTGGGAAACAGGCTCCGCTGGTAAACCAATAGAGGCACGTTATCGTTCCCGGCGAAGGGCTGACGGGCCATTTCGTCCTAGGGTGGGTCGCCTACAGGCCATCATTCTGGCAACTGGGGGACGTGGTCTCCTGGTCGATCAGGAGGTACGTAGAGGGATCCGTCACATATAGGTCCCTTCCCTGACGCGAGACGCTCTGCGACCCGGTGTTTGGCCCTATATCGGTGTAGGAGCCTTCATTGACACAGCAAGGTCCCTTATCGCCATAGGTGGTCCAATGATTGTCACAGAGACTACATTTCGGCTGAATGGACCGTTAGCTGGAAAGGGATGGAAGCCCCTCGTTCCGTACTGGAGGCCCTAACTGCCAAGGGCGGCCCTTTCATTGTCTCACTCTGGACTCCCATCATAAGCTCCGATATATCTGTCCATTGTCAGAGGCCCTGACCATCGCAAGAGGCCCTCTGGCATGCAGGGTCCAGTTTCTGTCACTGCTCAGCAAATGTTCCGGTGGTTGAATGGGGATCCCCTACCGACACAGGACCCCCTCTTAGGCATCGTGGGCCTCTGGCTGACAAAGGACCCTCATTGTCGTGGGCCCCGACCAATGAAAATCGCGGGCCTCGGCCTAGTCCCACATGCAATATATGGATCATGTGATGCTCCCATTCCCCAACCCAAGGTGCGCATCGAAAAAAGATACTGTGGTAAATGCCATATTATAACGTTGTATTGAATTCGCGTGATATTAACTTCATATTCGCACATCTTTTATCTAACAGTGTTTCAAGCTTTCGTAGCCTTTATTACACAAAAGTTTTTGACGCATAACTGTTTGCAGATGTTACAGAGCACACATGTTGGAAAAAGCGGAGTAAATGGAATATATTGCTTTCATAGTGGTGAGTAGGGAATCAGATGACATTTATCCCCGCAGGGGCAGCTACATCAAATCAAAATGTTTAAGGTTATCACAAAAAATCGGAAAACTGGTAGTATGATCAAATCATACGAGTCTGATGTACCAATCAGTGAATGTCCAATGTCCAGGTGGGCTATTCCCTTAAATATGACCAAATGCCAGCCCATTGGGCCCTTCGAACTTCCAATGGGGCCCTTGATCTTTGGTCCTGAGGGACCCTTCAGACCCCTCTTTGGGCTCCCTTCGTGCCCTCTCGAACGCGGCCCCCGGTGACTCAGAGCCATTGCCGGCACAGGATCCATGTTGGTCACTGTAGGTCCCGGATCGACAGAGCCCTCGTTGTTTCAGTGTCCCAGACTAATGCAAATGCGGGCTCCAGCATTGCTCCTGCTCGGGAAATGGGATCCCCAGGGCTCAGATTGACACGAAGTCGCTGGTCGGTACCGGTGTTGCCGACCGACAGAGAGACCCTCATCGACTCAGGGGGCCCCAACCAGCGCAAAAAGGCCCTCTGACTGATGTTTGAGGGCCCGACCCGCAGGGCCAAGACCCCTAATTGGACCTACGGCCAGCCCTCCGGGTTCTCAAATCGCGCCCTTCATTTCGGTCTCGAGAACCCTAGGGGCTTGAGGGGGAGCAAGTGCCCCCCCCCCCCCCCCTGTACCCAATTGCCCTGCGCCACTGCATTGCAATGTTTACATGAAAGTTTGGTCCGATCAAACGACCAGTGTAGTAGAAATACTTTTGATATGTTATACAATATAATTAAAGGATGCCTCCTGCTGCTGCTCACAGTTCACGGCGGCCGCCATCATTATTTGCAAACACAATAGCTTCCAGAGCCATAAGATCACTCTGTCTAGTGATTGTCTCTTTCTCTCTCTCTCTCTCTCTCTCTCTCTCTCTCTCTCTCTCTCTCTCTCTCTCTCTCTCTCTCTCTCTCTCTCTCTCTCTCTCTCTCTCTCTCTCTCTCTCTCTCTCTCTCTCTCTCTCTCTCTCTCTCTCTCTCTCTCTCTCTCTCTCTCTCTCTCTCTCTATCTCTCTCTCCCTCTCCCTCTTTCCTTCTCTCTCTTCTCTCTCTTCTTTATCTCTCTCTCTCTCTCTCTCTCTCTCTCTCTCTCTCTCTCTCTCTCTCTCTCTCTCTCTCTCTCTCTCTCTCTCTCTCTCTCTCTCTCTCTGTCTCTCTCCCCTCTCTCTCGCTTTCTCTGCAGCTCCGATCCAAATGCTGTGCCGCTGGTGTTCCTTTCCGGTCAGTAAACCTATTCGATTTACGGAACGCAAAAACATCAAAAATCTGTGAAATTGCATTGATTTTTTAATTCGGATAAGTGTGTAAGATTTCCCAGCCAACATGTTCCTAAAAACAGGTCAGTGAACCCTCACCGACACCGTCTCGGAGATGTAGTGTGTCTTCTAACACTCCGATGTCGCATCAGATTGAACGATTGCCTTTCAGTTACCCTCTCTGACAGCTATGGCCCGACTTTGACCTGCCATATGTCAGTGACATTTCAAGGCACATATATTTATACACTTACAGATTGTTTATTAGCAAATTTACAGCTAATCATAAGTTGACGCAGCCACGCCCGCTGTTAAAAAAATGTCTTGAAAATATTTGTTGTTGCGTCAACTACCCCCTCTCCTCCCCCTTCCGAGTGCGTGCTAAAGGGAGTGTTCCAGATTTGTATGGGGTTTTGAAATGAAGAAGCCATATTGAAGATCATTCGGTGCAGTTCACAGCCTTACCCTTCTCAAGACGCAAAATCCTCAAGTTTCGTTAAAAGACCGCAACTATGTGCTGGCTATTTCATGCATAGTATTTCAAGGCCTTGACATGCATCTAGGTGTGCATGACACCATAGCAACGTCGTTCAAATCCTGCCATCCCATTGGCTATTGTGCGCTTACTTTGCCATGATGCTTTTGGTGTGCGCGTCAACGTTGGCTTAGATGTTTCGACGGTTCTGTTATTTTTTCTTATCTATGCGATGCTTCCTTGAAATCTTTTCCACACGCTTCCAAGTCAGGCAGTCGGAACCAAATATTAAGATGCAGAAACCACCCACACCCAGCAGCCTAACATTCAAAACCTCTCACCGCGCACACAACGAGCACAAACAACCAAATAAGTCTACCAGACTAGACACGTTTTTCAGACTTTATATTAAGGGTCGCACATAACCGACGATCGTGGGCGGCTTCAGCACGGACGATCGTGGGCGGCTTCAGCGACGGCTATTTCCGTCGGACAAACGTCTTCAAGATCTCCTCATGCATCATTCGCATCCCGATCCCCGAACTCTGTTCCCTTTTCCTCTATGACACTAAATTAACTGTTCCGACATTCTCACCTGAAATTTCATCATTTACCATCGACCTGCCCTTTTGTTCAACACTCACCAACTTGGGACCTGGCATGCTGAATCCATTAACTACCGAACGATTTACGCTGTCAGAACAACGATTGCTTTTTGAAAACCAGCTGAATTGCGAATTTACTGCATACGAGCCTCTATTTTGTGGAAGGGCGGAGAACAATATTTCGTGGGAAGAAAGAGCAAAGCACATTGTCTGCAGCTCCATGGATCTGTATAGGATTCGGCGGACAGGGTTAAGGATAGTATGGAAAACATTTTCTGATTTGAAATATAGTAAAATTTCTTCCGCTGTTTATTTTATCTGTAATATTAATTTTTTCACACCACCTGACGCTGTGAAGCCAACTGGCATTCACCACCGCATCCGTCCTAAGACATTGCATTTCCTATCCGTTTGCACACACCCTCTAACCAAGGTCATGTGTGGCACATCGCGTGCACTGTCGAGCTTGCAGACCCGCCCACCACGGCCGCATATAAAGGCGGAGCAACGCAACCAGTCACCATCAGTCAGCCCGCAAAGCAGCGAAGGTGTGTGGGGGTGACAGCAGTGCGCGACGCTGTCTGGACCAGCCCTGCACGGTTCTCGGGGCGCGTGTTCTGCTGCGACGGCTCCGTAGGGCGGGGGTCGGGTCGGAACAGCGCCCGCCACCATAAACTCCAGCTTGCTCACTGGGCTGTTACAGTGGGGTGTCGTTGAACTCTGCCCAGGGCCCGATGGATGTGTGGCAGCTTACTCATACGTACTGTGCGCAGATGTGGTCGTGGTTACCGGTGGGGTTTTGATGAACATCATAAATCACACGACGAGCGTCATGAGCATATCAATAGCTACCGTAACGGTGTTCCAGCCCAGACATTGCCTCCCGCGACATGCCTTTCTCGTGCAACTGGATAACGTCACGCACCATCGGATGTGAGGCTGACAGTGGATGCCGTGCTTCAGATGCGGCTCATCCCGTGCATCCCGCTCCTGGCGCTTGCCGGAGTGGCCTCAGGAGGATTTCTCGTCGACGGAGGAAGTGGATATTTCGGCCCATATAGCGGTCAAGGAGGCGGACATTTCAGCCAAGGATTGGGATCGTATCTCGGCATGGGAGGCGGATATCTGAGCGGAGGATTGGGATCATATCTCGGCCAAGGAGGAGGATATTTCAGCGGAGGACAAAGATCACATTTCGGCCGAAGAAGAGCAGGCGGCTTCAGCAATGGCTACAGTAAGACTTTGTCCGGCTCTCTATCGTTGAAATTCGGCTCTCACGGTTGTGTGAATTTGCGTTACAATAGAGTCAAGATATTTGTGACAGGGCCCTGATCCGTACGCGGTGTTCTATAGTATGCACGATGGATATTGAAGTTTCGGATGGTGCCCAGAAAATACTGGCGAGTTGCCATTCGGGTCACTCAAACCCTTCTATGCTTTCGCAATACCACCGAAACAGTGAAGACGCAGAACGCAAGGCCAAACCGCGAGTTACCATACAGTGATCATGCTCACTGTGCCCTCTCCTCTCGACAGACAAGTTCGGTCTCTTCTTCTCGTTCCTGGACCCCTATCTGGCGGGCAAGCAGTTCACCTGGCAGGCGGCGAACTTCCAGTGCGCCATCCGAGGACTGCGGTTGGTCTCGCTGGACGACCCGTACAAAAACAAATACGTGTCACGCAAGATCGCAAGATACAGTAAGTCATGACAGTAGCATTCAGGCCTCCAAAATGAATGCAACTATGCCGTTCCATCCCGTCTCCCCCACGTTTAGAACTTAAGTCCAAAATGTGCTGCTACCTTTTAAAACTTTGTTCAACTGAGACGCAATTAGTGCAAGCATTACTATCTCTCGCCACAACCATCCATTGCCAGCCAACCATTCCGTTGCAAAGTTAGGGGATTGTGGTATATCGCGTCCGTCTCGATAGCGTCATGTGGAATATGATGTCGGCAAATGACGGCTGAACGAAAATCAATGCACTGTGCCCGTCATAACGTAACCAATAACATCAAATCAGAAAAAATATCACAATTCGTTCACACCTCTGTCATACACATCCAGTTTAGAGTTTAAGGACGTAGTTTTAAGAAACAAGGTGAAAGGGTGACTGAACTGGTGACTGGTAAGTGGTCAAACCTACCACAAATGCGTCAAAAACGCGTTATTCCCCAGATTTGACCCACACAGATTCCCCAGATTCCCCAGATTTGACCCAGATTTGACCATCTCAAAGTTGGTGGCCAGAGCACCTCCCCAAACACACAAATAAAAATAAATCTACATAAAACACCTATTTCATCCTGTTGTATGCGATGATCAGGATGAAGATCCTGTTTGGTCAAGTGCCGTACCACGCCTGCTTCCGCTGCAGATGTGCGGTACATCTGGACATCGGGCATGAGGAATGGCTACAAGTTCTTCTGGGCCAACGGCCCGACCGGTCAAGTACGGCTTCACCAACTGGTCGTTCACGGGCCGCCTCGGCCTGCCGCAGCCGGACAACTACCAGGGCAACGAGTATTGCTTGGCCGTGCTCAACCACTACTACGGCGACGGCATCGTCTGGCACGACCGTCGCGTGCCACCACAAGAAGTCCTTCGTCTGTGAGCCTGTGAACTACTACTAGAGCTGCACGTGGAGATGCCTAACAAGCCCGGCGTTGCAGCAATCGCTGGCAGCGAGGTGCTATCCGCCGGATCCCAATAATTACAGATATGCTGGTGTTGTGAGTCACGGTCCCCTAACTAGATGACTACCCGCCATTTCATGCCTGAAAAGGAGCTGCCTGACAGGCGCAATGAGACCTAGAGATCTTACCTAGACGACATCCCGGCGCTGTTGAGTCTCGCGATTTTCATGGAATCTTTAGAACGCTGTGTTTTGTGAATAGATATCTACTTAAAATTTTGGAGGAAATGGCCATGCACTGAGAGCACGGTGAATAGGTTGAACCATGCGAAGTGTAGCAAAATCTTACACCGAATAGTATTGATCAATGAAATAATAAAACGATGGCGTTTTCAACAAAGAGTGTCGAACGTGAGCATCCGTAATGCGAGCAACGCAAACTTGCACTCGATTCAACTTCACATGAACAAAATAAACTCTAATTCGTCAAATTACTTGAAAGCTCACTCAAAATCCACATCAAACTTGCCCGTCAAATACTGATTCCAGTCAGTTGTTGATTCAAACAAATGGACACGACTGATTCTGGGTCTGATTCGAATAAAGCGAAATGGGGTAAATCATGACTCAAATCAACAGAATTCGAGTTAAAGGTCATATTTTCAGAACAAGAACATGTAACAACACCGGGGATTTCCAATACCAATAGGAATATCCGATGGCTTAGTGTTAGAAGTTATGGAACCTCTTACATTTATATACTGCTCCGACGCGTTACATGCCCAGTCCATATCATAACCCACCAAGCCCGAGCTTTGTCCATATCATAACCCACCAAGCCCGAGCTTTGTCCATATCATAATCCATCAAGCCCGAGCTTTGCAAAAAAAAAGAAGAATGCCGGGGCCGGGCGGGCGGAAACCGAAGCTGGAGCCGGAGCCGGAGCCGGAGCCGGATCCGGAGCCGGAACAGAAACCGGAGCCGGGGCCGGAGCCAGAGCCGAAGCCGGGGCGGGAGCCGGAGCCGGAGCCGGGCCGGAACCGGAACAGAAACCGAAGCCGGAGACCGAGCCTGGGCCGGGATCAGGACCAGCATAAACCTTTTACAATTTTTAAAAAAATCTAGCTTAAACGCACTGACAGGACCAGTCTGTGTGGGTTCACGCGGGCGACTGGCCAGATTCGCTTCTGCTCTGGAATCATAAGCGCGAAGATGCCGCGTCTGCTGCCACCTCCCGTGCCCAACAGCGCAAAAGGCGTCTTCCTGGCAAGATCAAGATCGGCCTGCTGGCAATGTTCCTGGAAAGGACCGGCTGGAATGCTGCACCGCGCATGGTCAGCCTCTCAGACTCCACACTGAAGTCAGGTATGTCGGCACCCGCCACCAAACACAGGCGTGCGTCACCACCAAGGCGCCGTGCGTGCTTTGATTCATTTACCCTACAGATACTATCGTTAGTAGATACCTGGTCTATACAAAGCACATCGAGAGTTCTCATGAGCTTCAAGATTTCCTGAGACCTCGACCTCCTTCGGCCACCCAGGAAAGCACTCCAGTCGTAACACCACCCGATGCTCTCGCAAAATTGAAACGCTGAGCGTTCGTGGTGTAGGATAAGCGTGGAAGGGGACGTATTACAGACCCCCTATGCCTAGTGTTGTCCCTTAAAATTGCACGTCTTAAGCTATGAGCACTTGGGTTCTACAGCAGTCTCCTCAAGTTTCCAAAATGACTATCGAACCGTCCCAAGCAGGTTCACAAGATTTGAAGGGTCTACGAGCGGTTTGCATATCAGTGCAGATGTTCATGAGCATATGGCATGCTGCTAGTGCAAGGCAACATCAAGTCGCAAACGGGGGTCAGATAAACGCATCTTGCGTTCAATCATACCATTCTTCCGGACCAATTTTGACAAGCAATCCAGTACAACGACTTTTTCAACAAACCCATGATTACTGCCTGCATCATAACGCTTCCACAGGCGGTGCAATTCGAAATCTAATCTATGGCAGGGAGGTCTGGCTTCGAAACCTCGGACGACAGGGTTTGATTTGTTGTCCCTACCGCTGATCACGCTGTTCTGCCCTCTCACAAAATATCTTAGCCCTCGTTGTCTTAACTCCTTTTGCCATTTCAACACATGTGCAAGATATTATCTTTCTCTTCGGAACACGAATCCAACAGGCCTGGCACGTTTTTTTAATGAAAGCACCGAGGGGCGTTAATTCTGATACCCTCTTTGCTACTACCACACTCCTGCTATTGATTTGCCCCGTAAACCTCTGTTAAGGCCAAATCCTTCCCACAATTGTAACAGCACAAAAAGAAAATCACCGGGAAAAGAAGGATAGCAAATGATTCAGGAAAGTATACAGCAGCCTTCTACCTGGTTACCATAGAAACTATGTGATTGGTTGACCCATTGACCCAATCCCTTTCAACCAGTATCTCTGCTATGATCTTGTCAGGCCCAAGAAGTTCAAGTATAATGAATGGCCACCTTGTAAGATGTCGAAGTGCTCACGTGGTGTTTTCAGCTGACGTGGGCGCCCCACCCTCGCCTTAAGAGAAGAATCGATGCTGTTTGGAGGTTGTTAAAAGGACGGAGCCTCTTCGACATGTGGAGTTAACTGAACAGCGATGGTTCGGCAGAGCAGCGGCGTAGCTGGCTGTAATAAGCATGCATTTAATGATATACCGTAAACGTATATTTTATAGCATACGCATGTACTATAAATTCTATGGTGCACATAGCATATTCAATTGCATATCAGTAATATTTTATAACATATCTGATAAGCATAAGTATATGGAAGTGGAGAGCATATAAAGGAGATAACGTTGGATGCCGTATCCGTTTTGGACACCGCGGGAGGCGTTATCGAGTCTTCAACGCACTTTTTATTTTCCATATGCACTGAGCGATGCCATCGTTGCCGGCACCAACCGCACTTCACAATCATGCGCGACACAACCCTGCAGACACGCACGGCACGCACGGCACAGTCCTGCAGACACGCACGGCACGCACGGCTCAACCTCTCGGTGTAGTGTCTGGAGTTACTACCTCCACGGCGCTCACGACCGCCGGTCTTAACATCGCCCTAAAAGCCAGGTGCGAGTGAGGGGTCCGAAGGTACGCAGCTGCATGAATGGCCAGCATGGTCATCTCCAGATGTGGTGGTGTTCAGAGGAAGGCTGAGAGAAGTTATGCTTGACCCAAGTCTGCTGAACTCTGTGATCTCCTGACTTTTCAAGATCAAGGACATTTAAGTTTGGCCGCGCACGCATACGTCCCATTGTAAGCGTATATTAGATGTGCCGACGGGCACCGTGTTGCAATTTTTTACCAAAACACAAGCATACACGAAAAAGGTTAGTTAGTTAGTTTCCGGTCATAGGTTTTTGCAGAGATCAGGTCAGGGGCCACGAAACGAGTACATCCATCGCACTGCTCTCGTGTGGCTGGTGTTGCGCTGTCCCACCAATGCGTTTCGTGGCAACCGTCTTTCATTCAAACCGTCCAGGCCAACCTGATGTAGCGTGCTACGTCAGCTACCTGGAAACCGTCGTCATCAACAGGAAACACCTGAGAAATACGTGGAAATGTCCACCATAGGAAAAGTTCCAGCAGCCCGCTTTTTAGTATCCCGTCACGAGCTTCGTGATTGCAATCTCCGATACTTGGTGATATGACTGGCCCCGCGCAGTCACTGCCACGGCAAAGGGAGGTAGACTGACAAATGTTCACAGAACGAGATCCCGATAGAGAGTCGATCCTTTTCAGGGGCCCGCGGCAGGACCCAGGGCGAGGATGGGGACAAACAGATAATAACTGGCCCAACATACTAAGGTTTTTACCCATAACACAAGGAATTGTTTTGGGCCTCTAGACGACCAAGAATGCTGATGAAACCGAAAATGAATGATTGAGGATGTTTTCGGGCTCATTACGCTATCCAGGGGCTCTAAGCATTTACCGGGGACCCTAGATGTTCACTTTCCGGGGCGCCCCAATCGCTTAGGAGCCTTCTCCCGCCCTTGATTTATTTGTATTTGCTCGCAGGTCCCTGTGCTATTGATCGCTCCGGGCGATCTGCATTTATCTTGGGCTAGTCCCATTAAGTCAGCGAACCGTACACAGTAACAGAAAGCCCCACATGCTGTAAGCGAGCGCCAGCACTTCTGTCACACGTGGTGTCCTGTCCGCTCGCGTATATGATTATGGCTAAATCAATTAAAGTACGCAAGCCCGAGATCTATGCGATGACGCATTTCCTTGATGTTCTAGCGACAGATAGCAGCAGCTGTATGTGTTTCGATGAATGCTAACGCGCCATTCCGAAGATAATTTTAGGCACCAGCCAAGTCGTATATTTCAGTTAAACCCTTGGTTACTAGTACAGAAGCTTTGACAGGTTAGTGGCAAATCTTGAAAAGCTGTGTCCATGTCATCTAGATTCGTGAAGATGACCATTTTGGCACATATAGGGTTGGCATCGCTCTAAAATTTATGTCCTAAGCCATCTCTGAGTGTAATCTGAATCTGATTGCCTTATAGCTCTTCGGTTAATATTTACTTGGAACGTCGTTTCATTCAGGTAGTCTGCATTTTGTTCCAAAATGTGCAATACTTCCTTTTATGAGCTTTCTGGATAGTTGACAAGTTTCATTATGTCGGCGATCTCTGCCGTCGTTAAACTGACTATCAACGTATCAATAATGCCTGGTACAAAGATTAAGATGGCTCGTTTTAACCCACTTAGAAGGTCGAGTTTTACATTGTTGAGCTGTGTGCATATTTGTTTATTTCAGAACTTAGGATAGTGGTTTCACCGTGAGGCTCAACCAGAAAAGACAGAGCAAGTCGATTACGGAGTTTCTATTCACTGAACTAGTAGTGTCGACTAAAACTGTGGACTCCCGACTAAAGAAGCACATTATTCGGGAATGAGTTTCATTAGATTATCCTTTAAGCT